CAAGACCAGCCGCTGCTGTACCTGCCCCACTGGAACCAGTTCGACGATATCCATGCTGGGGCATCACGGTGGAGGACCACGGCCGAAAGACACAGGTCCTCCTTGGCTCAACTCTCTCAGCAGGCGAGGCAGCCAAACACAATGCAACTCCTGCCTTCCAACGTTCCCTCTCTTTCGCTCTCTCTTCTTCTTCCTCTGGTTCCACTGCTGGGGGCGGGGGGGGAGCTTACAAAGGCAGGTCACACCGGGGGAAGTGAGAGTGCTTTTCCAGTACGACTTTGCAATTTGGGGCTTGAAACCAGTAGCAGAGAGATGGAGAGCGCGCATGGGGGGGGGGTCTTGCAGGCCCCTCCAACCCCGAATAGGAAGACGAATAAGAAGCAGAAGAAGCAAGGAGAGAGAGATAGTGCCAGAAATCACGAGATAACAAGATTCAGAGATACAGAGAACAGTCCAACGGGTCAAGCCCAGCAGCGCTTCGAACCTGGCAGATTGAATGCAACAAAGGCGCAGTTTCCAAGAACGATTTGAAAACTGCCCAGTCCTTGGCAGCTTTTGCGGGGCACGGATTGGGGAGAGGTCCAGCCATGTTTTGTGGTTTCAAATGCCAGCACTGGCCGAAGCTATAGCTCATAGTGCATGTTGTCCATTGGCAATCTGAAGCACGCACGACACAAGTGGCATCAAAATGATGAATGGAAGCAAGGCTCTCTGCTGTCGAAGCCGCTCATCCCCTCGGCAGAGAACACCACGAGCGATGACTGCCTCGGCTAGGGCGCGGGCGATCTTTCATGCGACACGAAGAGAGCCAGATCCCTTGCTGGCTTGAAACGGTGCTGTATAGGCTACCGAGCAATCGGATGTAGTGGGCCTCGCAAAGTTCCAACGTTTCATAAGCTTCCCAGAGCCTGATGCATTCCACAGCGGTCGACGAAGTCTTGCATGCTCTCACGAATGTAATAAACACAAGACTACGTGAAAACTGCAGGCCTCGCATGCTGTCTCACGGCCATACGCTGAAAGGGCTACCGCAGCAACGCTGCTTATTCATGAGAGTCACAAGATCTAGTGGGAAATGCTGGGGAAGCAACTGTGTCGGACGCAGGTCAAGGTTGGACCGTACGGCAGAATGAGAAAGATGTCAAGCCTGTAAGTACCGCCCGAACTGCACCAGCTTACTGAAGCAAGCCAACAAGGTTTTGGGGTCGGCGACGTGTGGTTAAGCGTTACGGGGCTCAGGTCAGGTGGAGGATCCATGGTCCGCAACGAGCCCACAAAGCTGCTTTGGGAGAGGTACTGCAGCGCGGACTTCAGGTACTCCACTGCAGCATCTGCCGCTGTGGGAGGCTTGTACCCATGGACGCGTGCACTCACGGCCTGGCAGACGTAATCCCCGCCCTTACCTGAGCTGTGGCTTGGACGTCGAGGTACTTGCCCAAAGCTGTACATTCCGTCACATTCTGTAGGCTTACAAGGCAATAATCAAATCGACACACACACAATGCATCCGGACCCGTTGCATGACTCCAACCTTGATCTACCATCATCATTCAATCATATTCAATCCAAGCTGCCATCTGAATCGCCGCCATATCCCACGGTCACACCCCACTCGTCCCGGAGCCAGCGTGAGTTCTCGAACCTGCAGCTGTAGCTCAACAACGGTCGGGAGGTATGATTTGATTTCTTACCACAGATCCAGTCCTGCCAATGTGGATGTGATATGTGTGGAAATCCGGTTTGGCCACCAACCTGCATCTCTTCTAAGCAAAGTTCCAGAGACAAAACACAGGTCATGCAGGGTTCCTTTGGGGTTCCAACATTGAGTTCCAAAGTTGGGCGTTGGGGAATCTGGGCTTGAAGGAGTGGGGGCTGCAAACTGAAGGAACTTTCTATGAAGCTTCGGCCGTGTGCAGCTGGAGATAAACCCTCCACTTCTCGCCCAGGCTTTACATGAAGGTAGGTCCTGTTCCAAGGAGGACTTGGTGCTGGGGCATGGCGAACGGATGCAGAGCAGCAGTTATAGACACACCCTTCACTCTGAAGTTCTTTGCTCTGAAAAGTTCCTGCTCCCCCCACCAAAACGCCCAGGCTCCCTAACCTTGGAGCGCCAAGAAGCAGAAAAGCCTGGATGGATGAGGTTCCCGTCTTGTGCGGCCCCACATGCACCACCAGCCTGCAAAAGCCACAGTGCAAGGCGTGCGGTGTGGGGGATGCGCACGTGGCACAAGGAAATTACAACCCAACACAGACGCTCCCGGTGCTTGAAAACTTGGACACACTTCAAGGAGATCCAAGGATGTCAAACTCCCCCGGGAAAAAACTGAAAAAAAAGCACTGTGCGATTACTGCCGAAGGATGCCGAAGGCATTTTCCGGTATTCTCACATCCTTCACCTCTTCCGACTCCCAAGCCTTACAAAGAAGCGCTAGCACCTTTGGCTGAGGACTTGGGAAGCACCTGCGTCCCTCGCACGGCGGAATGAAGGGCACCGAGGGCGTGGAGGTTGTAGAAGGCACGGGTGGCGCTGTTGGTGCTGGCGGCGAGGAGGCAGGCAGCGGATCCGCTGTCACAGCAGGCACCGCAACTTGCACCGCAGCAGGCGCCACATCTGGGTTCCCGAGTTTCACTGTTCCGAGACCAACCACTGGGCCCAGTTTCGTACGCAAGTAGAAAACAAAAAAGTCGAAGGAAAAATCACGAAAATAGAAACAGCGTTCTCACTTGGAAGGTTAACACAAAAAAAGCCCACCCGCCAACTGAATGGGCCCCGGAGTGCTGTTCGAAGCTGCGCCGGGGAGACTGCATGCCCAGGCGTCGTGCAGCGACTTCAGGCTGCCGGTAGAAACCTCGCAGCCGAACGAAGAAACGATGACGATGATGGAAGTCAGCACAAGGACAGGCAATACTGACACAAAAAACAGTTGATGAATGAAGGATGGTGAATTTAAGACGCGTGGTCGCAGAATTGAAAAACATACTACTGACAATGCATGGTAATGAATGCATGGTAAGGACGATTGCCATGCCAGACAATTGAACAGGGCGGACAGTAACTGTGGTGGTGACACAGCTCACTACTGGCAAGATGAACAGAAACACATAATAATTTTCAGGAGGTAGTGATTACCTGCAGGAATACGAGCGGCACTAAATGAATCTAATGATGCAACAAAAGGATAGTGAGTATTGGATCTCCGATAGGGCTCAAATGCACTGCCCTAAAATGCGTTGTTCGCATCTTGCGTATCCAGAGAACATGATTTTGCCTCAGTTGACAAACTGCAGTCGACACGTTCTGCAATTCTCAATGCTCAGGGCTTATCAGGCTCATCCGTGGCTTGACCATGCCTGAGGATAGCGGGGCAGTCTCATCACTCATTTTACAAGCCGAGACATGATCAAAGTAAAGCCCAACCCTACCCAACACACAACCCTACCCTCCTATCCCACTCCATGGTCTCCGGGAACCAGTGCCACATAGAGCAGCGCAGCCAGTCCCGAAAACCAAGCCAGCGAAGCTCGTCGCAGCATGGCTTGGGCAATGCTTCCATGGTATTGATTCGAAGTCGAACGATCGTCTTATTCCATGCCTGATTTGGCAACACAAATTCTGGGTTGGCCCTCTGAATTTCATCGACCGCAGCTCGAAGATGAAGACTCTGTTTGAACCTGGGTTCCTCCGTATGGTCAACTTCCACCACCGTTCTTTCAGCAACTCGTTTTAGCATAGACGGCTTGCCCAGCGGATATCATTGTCTCCAAATGTGTTTTTTCTTTTCAAGGGCTGGCTTTGGCCAGAAGCGGAGTGTGTAACACGTTCTCACTGTTGACGCCACCTCACGTCGCCAAAAACAGCGAAAAGACTGGTAGTTATTTCAAGTGCACTTTGCCAAAGCAGCCTTCCTGAGTGATTGATGAGCAGGGGATCTCCTCGGAAAGCACAAGAAACTCTGTTTAACAAGTTTGCAACAAGAGAGTCCGAACACGCTGGGTTCTAACGAAAGTGAGAAGTGAACTTTCCTGGAGGAAGTCCTCCTCAAGATGTCAACCACATGCCTGTTGCGAGACAAAAAAGGGCGGCTGCCAACGAACAACGCTGAAGTGCTGTCCACGCTCATGCCCTCTCTCATCGTGTTACACTTGATGGTATGCACACTTCTCGCTTATGTACTCCCTGTGTTGGAGTTTTGAGGGGCAGTGCCCACCTACCAGATCAATGCAAAACATCTTGTCCGAAAATGCTTGATTCTTCTTCTTGCGGCTTTGGGGAACACAGCCGGAGTAGTCCTGTTGAAGTCGCAGCAGAAAGTTTGAAAAAGCTGACATCGTCACATCATGTGGCGCACATGTCAACGACCAAGGCGGGGCTTCATCCTCTTCGCCCAAACTCCAGGCTGAAGCGCATCCCCTCTCTCAACTCCCTGTTGATGATTGTGATCGCCCCTTGTGCAAAAAGTTCACGCCGGACAGCGTTAGAGCACCGCCCTTCGTTGCCCACTACATTGCGTGGTGCAGTGGACCCCTTTTCAGCCCTGAATCCCCTGAAGGGTCAATTTGGGTGTGCTTTGTGGGGGTGCCTATGTCTTAAGGTAGACACAGGGCTTTGGGTCTTGCGAATCCCCGTGAAAACAAATAGAAACACCGAAGCGCTGGATTTTCCATCTCGCAGCGGCGGCTCAATGGCAGAAGCTGTCCACGCTCGGTTTGGTGGCGTGCTGGGTGCTCCCAATGAGGTATCCGCCAAGTCAATCGACAACCTGCTAACACAAAGCGTGGAGATGTCATCGCGCTCAAGGATAGAGACGGGCACAGGTTCAGATGGGCACTTGCAGTTTGACAAGCCGCTCAAGGATGCTCAGGGCTCTTCGAGGAAGCGCACGGACACCGGACAGCGCCAAACTCCGAAGTCCTGTGACCTCATGTGCGCGGCGGTCATTCGGGCGACTCAGCTGAATGTCGCGGAGGGAAGTCGGCGCCTTCCGAAATTCACAGAGATTTCACAGCCCATCCTCCAAGTCCAAAGGAGCTCCAAGGCTGGCGAGCACGGCGGAAACGCCCCTGCGGAGCGACCCCATCTCTGGCTTCGTGCTTTTCAGGGCTAGCAGCGGCATGGCCAGCAAGAGCGCTGCGTCGCCTGCAGTGCAGTGCCATGCAGTGCCCCTTGAGCTAGGCTCCCTAGTTGTGCGACCCTTTTTCCCCCCCTGGTTCTTTCCCAAAATCTTTCTCAAAAGGCCACGCAGATGTGCCAAGTGTGTCTCATCCTGTGCTGAAGAAGTGGCTGTAGCTGCTGCGCATGGGCTGCACGACAACGTCACTCAGAGCGAGGAGGAACCTGAAACTCAGAGACAGAACCCCCATGTGAGAAGATTCAGTACATTTGCTTGACGCAAAATACAATGAGCTGTAAGGAACCGGACATTTTCAAGGCACCTTGCATAACCCAAATCTCGGCAAAACGAAAAACAAGGTGCAACACGCCAAGCGCTGGCACAAATAGAAGAGTCCCCGCACTTTGAAATTTAACAGGGGGATTTGCATCTTTTGATTTTCAGGCTTCACTCCGTCAAAAATATCTTTTGAAAGGGGGCAGACCTCCTGAAACCGAATGCAAAGATTGACAGACTATGGAGAAAAGGCTTACAAAAGAAAGCGTGCCCATCTGCTTATTGTGTTTTCTTCAACTCAAGAACACACTGCCGCTGTTTCTCCGTTAGCGTGGTGCTAGGTCCCCTGTTTAGCTTCACTTGCCGCTCTCAGACCCCACACTCCTTCTGCAGTTGTCATTGGTGCCCCCCGAAAAAGGGTCGGACATGCGCCGCACACCACTGAAGAAATCCCTGCTGTCTACCAGTGAATGTAGCCCCACGGTGAGAACCTTCAACGTGTGAGTTTTGCCTGAAGTCATCAGCTCTCCAAAAGACGCGTCAGCCATGTGAATCCACTCCCCAACCTTCTTTTCGTACCTGAGTAGGTCCCAGGAGCCAGTCGGCAACCATCTTCCGAAATGACTCCCGGTACTCAGAGCGGGCTGGCTCCTCCTCCGGCTGAAGCATGTAGGAGTGGTACAGTGCCCTCGGCAAGCAGTGGCAGCTTGGCTTCGGCGATTCGAGGGGGTTTTCAATTCAATACAGAGGGCCCGGAATCAGAGGGGCCAGTCTTGAGGGAAAGCTTCTCCAAGGTGTGCTCACAGATGAATTGCATGATGCCGAAAGTACGCCGAAATCCACAGCAAAAGCAACTTTGACTCCGATTGTACCAGACAGCCCAAGCTCACCCACAGATCACCTGAACCCAAACTTTCCAGCGCAAACTCGACAAACCCCAGGGTCTTCGACGGGATCTGGGGTAAGAGGCGACGCCCGTAGCGGCGCTCCACTTCGTCCAGACGGGGAGGGTTGTCCGTGGCAACGGTCAGGCCTCGCGAGCAGGTGGCATTACCGGATGCTTCAATGGGATTTGGGGAGAGGTGCCTCTGTGCAAACGGAGCGACAGAAATCCCTGCTCGGGTGTTGGTACGCTTCTTTGGCAAGATGGTCCACACCCGCAAACACGCGCGGCCAGGGGGGAACGGAACACGCGGCACCTGAGACTATCGTAATGCCCGGCCTTGTCATTGGCAGATTGGGAAAAATCTACATGCCCACAAGCTTGAAAACATCCCGAAAACATCCCAAACGCCAAAACAAGCCGTTCGGACTGAGTGCTGGACGCACAGAAGCCCCGGAACCTTCTTCCAGCTGCGAAATCAGCTCGTCCACGACCCCCCACGTCTCTTGCCACTTGCTCTCCTCTGTGAAACCATGGGAGACCGACACTTGTGGGAACTGTCGCCTCATTCCTGCGCTCTACACGTGCTTGGTCCGAACGCTTGTTTACTCATTTACTGAGAGCTGGGGGAAATCATTGCGTATGGCTTTCCCCTCAACTCCCCACCTCTCCTGCAGGCGCACATCCCCAGCATGATCCCATGACCCGCTGTAATTCAGATTCTTCAGGATGACACCTTGGCTGCTTAAATGCTTTGATGGGCCAAATGAAAGGTTGTGTCTCTTTTGGTGCTGTACCACAAAAGCACCTGAAAACATTTCTCACGGTATGACAACGGCACTGTCACCAAAGCGGAAGTGAACCCCGACGAGCACATCGGCACTGGACAAATTGGCCAGTGGGCGGCCAATTGCCTTTGCTAGAGGAAAGGAGAGAGCCCTTCTGGCAGATCTCTGCTGCAAACTCGCATGTTTCGGTAGCAGCCCCGCCCTGAAGAGACTTGTTGCATGACGGTTGAGAGCAGTTTCTGGCCGCAGCAGAATGGTGGGCGAATGCACCACTACAATCACAAATGCCTTTTCCCGGGCCCCCTCCCCTGAGCACAAAAAATATTGGGAGGGCTATTGTCTGGTCTTAGGCTGAGCGGGGGCCTCTTTGGGGCTTCCTAGAGTTCAGGATTCGGCGCATGGACTCTGCAGACTCGATGATGCTAAAGCCCCCGCTCCCCATCAAACATCAACCAGCCTGTTAACTCGAAGAGGGGCCCAGAGCAATCTTCAGCGAGTTGTTCTTTGCAGTAGTCGACTTTTTCGGATTCTGGGGGAGGTTTTCGGGCGCGTCTCAGTGCTTTCAAGGTTTGGCCTTTGGTGCGCTGAGGTTGTAAGCCGCATTGCAACTCCAACCTCCCGTCCGCCCTCTTCCCGCCACGTCTGCGGTCCTGTTCCCTTCCCTGCTGTTACCTTCCACCGCGTCGTGAAAACTCTCACAAACAATGAAGGGTTGTACTTGCGAAAATTCGGCCTTGTCAGGTCTGCTTCAGGCTAGCATGGAATTTCAGGGATTCTGGCCGGCACACGGAGGACACAGAACATACCCCTTGCGACGCGAGCACTGTCAAATCTAGTCCAAGAGGAAGGCTCCAACATGGAAATCGTTGCTGTGTTTTTGGGGAAGTGGCCCTCCATGTTAAACCGAAGAACCATGTTAAACTGCAGAAGCAAGCAAGCGTGGACGAGGACCCTACTTAGCCCTCAAATCACTTAAAGGACATTTTGGCCTGTTGGGAGTCAAGCTGCATTCAGGAGCTCCTGGCTGGGGGAATCATAGAGCGCGCGAGCCTTGCAACTTGCTGCGTCACCAGCTCCTTGATCCTGCAAGGTCCTGGGGGTTTTAGGAGGTCGTTGGTTTAGGGTTTAGGGTTTAGGGGAGTTATTGGGAGAAGGGTGGCCTAGCAGCTTGGAAGGCTGATGGCCCCAATGACTGCGAAGCCAGCATCGCACATGGTTGCTTGTTTGCTTTCTCCCAGGTCCTTTTGATGTCGGCCCTCAGCGCCAGCTGCAAGTCTTCCCATGTCACACCCAACGCATACGCTAGCTCGTGGTGTGTCTGCAACTTTTCAACCACCTGCGTCCATGGAAGGAGTCCTTCGAGCTTCTGAGCGCCAAGGTATGCCTCGTAGGCCAGAGGTGCCTCTTGCAACGCCCCGAAGAAGCCAGCCAGGTTAATGACCTCTGGCTGTTGCTGGACGATCAAGCTCCGATCACTTAACGATGCCGCTGTCGCTATGGAGATCCTGGGCCGCGCTTTTTCGGAACCCAAGCTGCCTATGAACACGTTTCCGGGAGACGTGATGCCACTTGAGGGCATTGCTAAACTTGCTGCTAAACCCAGCGCCCAGGATCGTCTGAAAGAGAACGTTGCCGAAGCCAGCGTGATGACTCATGAACACCTTCCTCTTGAATCCAGAGCCTGGGTTACCTGCGTGTGTGAAATGCTCCAAGCATCTCGAAGATTTGTTTGTTTGTTTGTTCCCTACCCTCGGTGAGGGCTGGGTTCCGTATCCTCTGAAGTGCCCAACCCCGTAGTATTCCCGATTGAGCTCGCACATTGTCCGGCCAGAATTCCCAGCGACAGCGCTGCTTTCCGGAGGATCGCGTGTTGGTTTCTGACGTGGCTTTGCGTGTTTTCGGCTCATGGAAGCTGTCAGGTTGCACCTCAACCACCAAAAGCTCCGGAAACCACCAACCTCCGAGCCCTCTCGAGCTCCTTCCTCGCAAGCTTTCCTCAATTGAAGCGATCTCTTCGACCCATAAACTCCTCAAGCCCAAACGACACATGCACCAAACCATTCTTCCCTGCCACCCTCCCACAACCCGCCCTGCTTGCCCAGGGGCCCAGGTTGCGGAAGGCCTTGCATGCCTTTCCCCGAGACCGGAAGCGCTTCACCAGTGGCAGTTGCTCGAAGGCACCGAGGTCGAAGCTGGGCAGGAAGAGATTCTAGGCCCGAGATTCTAGGCTTCTTTTAGCGGGCTTTTAGGGTGTACGGTTCAGGGCGTGTAGGGTCCAGGCCTTACGGGTTTAGGGATGAAGTTGACGGTTCAGGGTGTCGGCTTTCGACTCGGGGGTTTTGGGGACTTGCGGGGGAGTTCCGGGTGTTGAGGAGTTCAGGGGCCGAGGCTAAAGCGGCTAAAGTCTAAAACCCGAGAATTGAATGGAAGCTCTGAGGCGCTCTTGTAAGGAGAAGGGGCGCAGCCAGAGAGAGAGGGAGAGAGAAGCTCGCGGTAGCTATCTCTGTGCTCTCGCCCCCAAACCCTGAGCCCTAAGAGTTGGCCTCTGAAGCCGAAACCCCTGAACCATCCCAAGCCAAGGTAGTGCTGAACTCCAAGCACCTTGGCTTCCCGGTCACACGCGGAGTGGATGCCATGTCATTCTTGACCTCTCCTCTCGCAGCTTTGGGGGTCATAGCCCAACCTACCGACGGTTCGGGAGGGGGAGCGCGTGGGGGGCTCGAACCATATATAGGAGCCCTACATAATCAGAGTGTGGTTTTTGCTGCGCAGGGTTTTATCACGGGAGAATCTTCACACATATTCAGGCACCTAGATTCGGGGTCCAGTGGTTGGGGCTTTCAGCAGTTTTCCTTGCTGCCATGGGACACCGCCCTCCTCCCTGCACAAAGGCTAAAACACTTTAAGCCCGAAACATTCCCAAACATTCATGCCTAAATATTCTAGGTCTTATAAGCTACCAAAACAGCCCTCCTCTTTTTGACGTCCTCCCATGTTGGCTCCTTGGGCTCTCTCTGCTCGGACCGCTGGCGGCCCCGGAGTTTCGGAGTCCAGCAATACCGGCAGGTCTGGGGCCAGAGTTGTCAGCGCAGCGTGGCGCAGCAGGCTCACCTGGAAAAGGCAGCGGGTGCGATCCCATCTCGTCCTCATGCTAAACTGAGCTGCAGCAGAGCTGCAGTGACGAGGAAGGCAGCGAATACCCCAAGCCGCTTCCAGCCAGCAGTCATGGCCCGGCGCTCTTGGCCCGGAGGCCAATTTAGCCATCAAGGTGCAGACAAGCCGTGAAAATACACGTGCGCGACCTTATGAACGATCCCTGCTGTGCTTAGCCACCATATGATTTCACCGTGAATTGAAGACTATTTATTGTCAGCTACAGTGGCAGCAGCCGACACACCACCATCATTGGACAACATCATCGACTGTCGCTGCTTTGTGGGATGCAAGGCACCAAATCTGCCTGTCCAAAGCTGAAAAGGCCTAAAGCACGTTGCAAGCAGCCGCATGAGACGTGGCGGTCCGAATCGCTCTTGAGCCCATCCGGGAATTTCATGCTCGACTTGACGATTCCATCTCGCTGTCCCTTGCACGAACCCACATGGGGTGGGTAGTTGATGGTGGTTGTGGCAAGGCTGTGGCGCGAGAGTTCAAGGAGCTCTCAGAATATGACAGATTCAAGGAATTCTCAGAGGGTCCAAGTGCGCCCTCTAAACAAACCCAAAACACTCTCAGTGAACGTAAGTAGGGGGAATGCGAGAGCGGCAAATGCTTTCGAATCTCGTGGGCACTTTGCATATTCCAGGAGTTTCTGATTGTGACTCTCTCTGCAGTAACCGAAAACTCATATGAGCCGAAGGAGATTCCAATACTTCGCTAAACAGGTCTCGATGATGCTTTCTTGGCAGAGGCATGGTTTACACTAGCAACGAGGCAGCTTCTCTCATTCTACGGATTTACGGGCACTTCCACTCATTCCCCGGGGCTCCCTGCAGCAGGGTCCTCTGCTGTGACGAAGTAGGAGAGCACCGCCGCCTCCTGCTCCGTGGGCTCCCGGGGCGGCTGACCGACCATTGGCAGGTAGACGGCCTGTGAGTAGTTCAGCCACAGGTCGGCCTGCCCAGATGTTTGGAGTTTTTCATATGGGGCATTTTCCCACAATGGGGCTACCCCTGTTCTACTGCAAATAGAGTTACAGAGACCCCCAAACTGGGTACCCTATTTTCGGAAGCCCTCATATGGAAACCAGCCTCAGGACTTTGCGGGGTATGGGCATGTGGCATAAGACATACGCGACATACGCGGCCCGAACCTTGAGCCAAGACTACTTAGGAGTCCTACAGACACCTGCCGTGTGCTGAGCTCAAGTGCTGGGCTTGTTTTGTTCTGGCTGGTTCTTGGTAGGGAATGAGGGCAGGAGGTACCCTATATAATCCCGGAAACGGTATATGTAAGACCCCATTCCCTACTAAAAACCAGGGGGCTCATCAGGCATGTGGGCTTGCCTCCTTCTTCTGCTGCCTCGCGAGCTTGCAGATCTGTCCCATGCGACGCTGCTGGGTCCATTCCTTCTCCTTGGCATGTCACCCGATCTCTGCAATCCACCGTGACAACGGGTCTTGGGTTGCCATGTGCTGCCTGGCGTCCATGGCGCTCGGGACGTACTTGAACTGGACCCTCGGGCCAACAACCACCTGACTTGGGGGCAGCAAGTGGAGAACCCTTTCGAATCTCCTTCCAGGCTTTGCGCCAGGTCTCTAATCAGGTTCGTCCCTCTCTGTTTCCTGTTTGCGGAATTTCGGGCTCATAAAATTGCCACGCCTGCTTTACAATGTAAACAACGCAACAAATCGTATCACATAATCTCATGTATAGTATCTACGGAATGTACTGCATACAGATAAATCAACATCAACATAAATAATACTTACATAATTCTATCCATATATATATACACATATATATATATATGTATAACTTCTAGGACGTGCGATATGTGAGGCGGATGTGCTGGCCTTCTGGCCCAGGACTGGCACACACGGGTCGATGCCGCTCGCCTTGAAGGGCGGAGGAGCCTGGGCAAGTTAAACCAAAAAAGGGGGTTGAGGGTTTGGGGTTTAGGGTGCGGGGTTGGGGTTTAGGGTGTCTGTTTCAGGCTCTTGCTGCTGCTGCCGCTGCTGCTGTAGCAGCAACAGCTGCAGCTGCATGTTCGGAAATTCGTTCTGTGTTTCGCGCATCTCGGCGGCGGCGCCCCCAAGCTCCCCGAATCGCACAACCCGAGGAACAACACGAGAACCACCAGAAACCACAGGGCTACACGCCGATGCCCAAGTTTAAGCTAACAACCCGGTTCATGCGCATCACAGTCTTGGCAAAAACGTTCGAGACTTTGGTTTATGCCGATCTCAAGGGCTGCGAGACAGTCGACAAAACGATTGAGTAAGCCTGGGGCCTGGAAGTTCTTAACCTACGAACAAACAGCGAGCGCCGTCATGACCGTCACAACCACCTCTGCACCAGGGCCTCGCTGAGTCTCCAAGCCTCCTCCGCAACGCCCGGCTCGAGGGTTTCAGGGTTGGCGTAGGCCTGCTGCACAGCGTTGCTGTGGCACCAGTACTCGCCATTCCGTGCCTTCTCTGGGATCTCGGGCGACAGGCATGCGTAGATGCTCGTGGAGGCTGCCTGTGCGGTGGTCTTGCGGAACGGCGCATAAGGCCAGCCCATGAAGATCCCCTCCAAAGACCCACCAGTCAGCAGGTTCGTGGCGGAGATGCCTGGGTGCACAGCAACAGCGACCGAGTTCGAAGGCCCCCAGCGGCGCTGCTGCTCCTTGGCAAGCATGGCAAGCAGGGACTTGGTGAGCCCGTAGTTCATCATGGGGTTGTAGGGCCGTGTTGGTGGTATTTGGTCCACCAGGCGCTCGGGCGGCGAGCCGCTTCCCACGTTGAACCAGAGGCAGCCAGCCGCAGAGCTGAGGATGACTAACCTGCTGGGCTCCTGAATCGTGCCACTCGCCAGCAAGGGCTTCTCGAGCAAGCGCGCGAGGAGGAAGTGGCCCAAGTAGTTCGTGGCGAACTGCAGCTCGAAGCCCTGTGCGGAGTGCGCCTCTGTGTCCAGCGCCATGATGCCGGCGTTGAGCACCAGGAAGTGCACCGGGAGGTTCAGCGACACGAAGTGCTTCGCAAACGCTTTGACCGAATCCAGGTTGGAGGTGTCAAGCTCCATCACGGTGCCCTGACCACCCGGCGCCGCCTTCTGAAGCTGCGCCAGCACATCCTCCCCCTTGCTGATGTTCCGCACCGCCAACACCACGTGACAACCATGCAGCATAAGGACACGAGCCGTCTCCATGCCGATGCCGGCCGAGGCGCCGGTGACGACCGCCACTTTCCCACGCAGAGCCGACGTGGACCCAAGGAGCCTTGTGGCGACCTTCTCCGCCGAGAGCGTTAGCCGGCTGGTCACCTCGCGTCCGGTCAGCTGGATGCAGCGCCAAGGCACTCGGGCATCGCCCCACCATGGCACCTTCCCTGTGCTGAGGTCCCAGAGAAACCTGATAAAGACTGCGGTGGAGTGCAACGCCGGGTCGTAGTGGGCCCATGTTCCCAGCACGATGGCGATGCCGGCGCATGACACTGCCGTGGCAACCATGGCTTTGACGATGGGCGCACACAAGCTGTAGCCCCGACATGAACTCTGAGTGATTGAGCCAGAATGGTTCCGAACACCTGCACACCTGCACAGCTGCATGCACACACACACACACACCCTAAACCTACCCAAACCCCCTACTACCCCCCCACACCCCCTATTGGATGATTTTTCGGATTATTTCCGTGCAGTAGCTACTGGCTTCAACGAGACCAGACTTGGCTTCGGGGGGAAGTGTTCGGATGACTTTCTGAGACCTTCCGATGTAAAGCGCCAAGGGTTCAAGGATGGGGGGGGCACCAAGCTGACGACATACCACCCCTAAAGTCCTAAGCGTCCTAAACCCTAAGCCGCTCGTGTTGCAGCTCCTGTCTTTGCAAGTGTGCCAACAGAATTGTCCGAGCGGCCTTCAGCTGCTTCGGATTCGCGGCCAGCGGTAAGGATGGCTTGGGGGCCATGGGTTTGCTGTCTCTCCAGCTTGTGCGCCTTACTCAGGAGGACCCAGAACAAGTCCGGCATGTGTGACACCTCCTAAATGCATTTGAGGTGTATCTATGCTGCTTGGGTGGTCATTGAAGCTGAAGGTTTGGAAAGTATACCGTCCTTGTCATGACTCGCTGCTCCGTGTGTTTACTTTGTCCTTATTATTTTGTCCTCATTATCAAGTCAGCGGCAGAGCCCCATGAGAGCGGCCGTGTTGCGGGGAGGATGCAAAGCTGGCAGCAGCCGCTTTGGAACTTGGCTTGCCATGGTCAGTTGATCGGGGCCTCAGCTATCAAAACAATCAAAGCAAGCTCATTTCATGGACCTGAAGGCACCCCGAGCAGTCTTGAGCAGACTGAGCCTACTAGAGCCCTCATAGGTTCCAAAGTCCCAGACGTCCAGGGCATCCCAAAGCCAGCAACGAGGAGGGCGAGCACCGAAACAAGCAGGGCTGTTATCGAAAGCCTCAGATGCACGGAGACGGCGCGCGCGGGCACATGGCCGGGGGGGCTTTCTGCAAGGTGGCATCTGACGCTTGACAAACAGAAGCTCGCACCGGCTACTGCTAGCACACTACATGTACATAGTCACTTAGTCTTGCTATCACATCTGCAAAGACTATGATGCTGCTATCGCTACTGCTATCAAGCCGTGGCCTTGCCATCACACCAGCCCTGCCACCCTCGGAAAAAGGCGATGAACTGCAGACCTACCACCCCAGCCAAATAACCGGTGAAGCCACAACGCCACACGGACATGAGATGACATGAGCTTGCCAGCCCCTGCCCAAGCCTTTCCGCATGCGGCAACATTACAATGACCAAGAGGCATCTTGCTGCAGCTTGGGGAGTTTGTCTCCTCCCCAGCCTGAGATCAGGCAACTGGCTGGTGCAGATCTTCATCGAGCAGCTCTAATGGAAGGGTCTTGGCAGTCTTGGAAGACCGCATCCCAAGGTCTCCTCGACTGACAGTGACATTGCATACCTGGCTTGCCCGAGAGGGCCTTGGCCTGGGAATAGAAGCTTGTCGCACTGATATATTGAAAAGTTCCTACATTGTTCCTACAAAACTACAGCGGCTACGCCTCGCTGCTTCCACACATAGACTGGCCGTAGATTGCTGTGCGAGATTTCTCTGTTCATGTCATGCTCGCGTTGGAACACCTTTTGCATTACCACGCTTGCGTTAGAACAGCTGTTGCGTTGCACAGCTGTTGTTTGAAAGCCACGGCAATGACTTATAAACAAAGTGCCCTTGGCCTGAACAGGGCAAAGCTGCCTTTCCAAGTCGTTGTATGGACATGCAATAATGTTGAGCCGTCTTTACATGAGCCGTGCAGGACAAAACTGTGGAAGAGCCCCCTAAAAGGGCGAACCATAGCTAGGCCAAGATAAACCCGTTTCTTCTTCTGTGGCAAGCAAGGCTCCGATGGCATCGCGGCTGGAGGCCGCTGTTCGCTCAAGGGCTCCTCAGAAGCCGCGAGTTGCGTGCGGTGCTGACCGGATGACGACTTGTTGGGATTCCTCATGTGGAGCTCACGTGGAAGCTTCCAGGTGTGCCCGAGGTGTGAACAACAAAGACGGCGCAATTTTAGGGTCTTTGATTGTCCCTTGGGAATATGAAGAGCCTTGCAAGTCGTCTGACCTAAACGCACAGGCCATTGCAAGAGGATTTCCCCCGTGCTTCCTTCGGGGTGTCAGCTCCCGCCTTGCAATGAATACTCCACAAATCAAGATGAAGGCTCCGTCTCTTCTTCATCCGCATGGCCGATGCTGTCAGGTAGCTGCTGCATAGGACCAAGAGGCCCGAAGCAGACCCTAGGGGGGAACACAGCTACAAGATGCTTGATGTCTCATGTCTGTAAATTGTTTTTTGCTGTTCTTGCCATGGACGTCTACTATGAAATACTATGGGAGGCATGAGATGGTGCAGCAGCCTGTAGTATTCAAGGCCCAAGCACACAGAAACCTGGAATGCCTCCACTTTTGGATTCTATGACTTGTCACGCGTTCTGGAGCGTTTCTGTCCTGTTTGAATCTATCAACATCGTAGAGGTTTAGGCTGTGGAAATCTGCGCCGTAGTCTATCACTGTTCAGCTGCAAAGGGTCAGGGAGAGGGGGCGGCGCAACCCCTGAATACCGCCTGCTGGCTGCTTTCCACAATTCCACATGGCTGCAGGCTACATCACCAATTCTGAGCTGCTGAGCTGCGCGACATTAACATTCTTGCTCAAGCACTACCGAAGCTCTCTGGTCGCAACTCCTGGGCTACTCGAAGCAATGCCAAAAAATGTTAGCCTTCCTGCGTATGGGCCCCAACCCTCTGCTGGTCCCACAAAAGCCTCTAGTTGTGGCTTTCTGGGCCCACTTCTTTCAACGAAACGAACCCCCATAGCTCTTGGGGTTGCTTCTAAGCTTCCTTTTCCTGGGGATGTGGTCACAGAGATCAGTTGCTCTTAGCAGCAGGAGCCACACTGGCGCGAAGATGCGTTGCACATCCACCACGATGTCGATGTTTAGTGGCAAGCTGCAGCTTTCATGGCAGCAATCCGCCCCCGAAAACAACCTACCTGTCACAAAATTCGCAAGGTCAAGGCTCCCTTCGACAAGCCATCAAGATAAGACAAGTGAAGGCAAACAGATCTGAGAAAACGGCGGCTATTTCTCGAATCAGTCCACCAAGTGTCACATCATCAAACAGATCCACCAGACACCCGCGAGAAAGAGGAAGCGCCAGAGCAGAGGAACTCTTCCCAAAGTTTCCTCTCCCCTGGGGCCGCTCTTCCCCTCTTGAGGGACCTCCATTCACAGCATCAAACAGAGCTTTTCATTGCTTCCTTTCACACGGTTCTCCAAAGCCTTCCCTATGACACCTCGCCCACGCGAGACACGTCACACATGACCCCTTGAAACGAGTAGTGCCCAGCATCCCATCTCAGTCGGTGCTGTCAGCGAACTCGTTCAAGTTGTGCTTGCCCTTCTATTGGTATCGTATCACAAAATGTCAATCCTAGGGATGCCACCCGTGTTTTCTCCAGTTTGTCCCCTCCCCGCATGGCATCCCTGGGTGCTGCGCCGCCGCCCCAAAGTTTCTGGAAATCACACAGAGTGTGTCCCCTACTCTCCAGACTGTTCCAGAATCCTGGAAAAGAACGCAGAAAGCTTGAGAAGTTGGGGTACCTGACGGATCTACAAGAGGCGGGCTTATCTCGCATCAGGCAGCGCGAATCTCATCACCCCATTGTGAACGCTACAGCAATCCCCAAGTTGTCGCCGTGGCGATCAGGCTGACCGAGGCAATCATCTACTGAACTTGCAACTCCCGAAGACAATTAGAAGCCGGCACAAGGCCGACTTCGACATACCAAGAGATATGCTCTGAGGAAGGAATGCAGTCCCCCAATCGGGTTTTGGGCTTAAGGTCCGTTGCAAGCACTGCCAACATGTATAGCAACATGTAGACGCTGCGTCAATGACGATGGTGCCGACTTCACTACATCAAGAGATATTCTCTGAGGAAGGAGTGCAGCTCTCCAATGTGGACGCGTGGACGCCGGTTTCGAGCGATGCGAGATGAGGATACTGCGTGACCGGGGTCCCTGTGGCTTATCACCTGCTCTCTGTGAAACTCACCTGAAGGTGCAGCTCCCGTAGGATTGATCGTAGTGTAACCCCCACAACTCTTCAACCTTATTAAAGGGCGTTCCGTGAAGGGACATCTATGCGGGGAGTTAGGAGATCAGGGTCGGCGAGTACCAGCCAGGACTAGGAGAAAGTTGTGTTGATACATGTATCATGACGCGGCCAGAAGCGGCTTGCGCCGGGGAAGGGAGAGTACCGCGAGCACGAGAGATGTGCGGTTGGGGGCCATTGCCATGTCCACGAGACTACTTAATGGGCTGCCGTGTGTTGGGTAACCGACATACTGCCAAGTACAGCTTCTGCACGTCACTTCGGGCAAGCTATGCGTCTGGCGTCTCATCCAAAGCAGGCTTGCAGGGCTGAGCTGAGTGTTTCAGAGAGCGAGCGAGAGAGAGAGAGAGAGAGAGAGAGAGAGGGAGAGGGAGAGGGAGAGGGAGAGGGAGAGGGAGAGGGAGAGGGAGAGAGGGAGAGGGGAGGGAGAGGGAGAGGGAGAGGGAGAGGGAGACGGAGAGAGAGAGAGAGAGGAGAAAAACAAAAGGGAGAAAGGGAGAAAGGGAAGAGTTGCCATTGATGGAGCGAGCATAGTTGATGATGACCAGCCCACTTTCCGCGGATGCGCACGCATGCAGGCTGCTCATTAACTCTAACTGCGCTCCCATGTTCGGGGGCACTTCCAGACCACGGCTGGCGGAAACGATGCAAGGAACGTGATTTTTTGCAGTAAAGGTCGCCAGAGCATGGGGTGCACACCCACGCTCTCAAACCCAGAAGTGGGATCGAATGCCGGCTTGGCGCAGCCTCTTCATCAAGTCCAGCGCCGCATCGATGGTCCGGCCCTTGCTTTTGTACCCCGTCCCCTTTCCCCAGCCAAAGTTAATGCCATCGAAGTAGACATGGTATTCGAAGAAGATCTCATCAACTAGGGAGCTGAGCTCCGGCTGCCGTGCGATGGCTTCCATGATCTGCAGTTCTGGGCCACCGTCAATGTCCACCTTCACGACGACGTAGTCTTCGACTTTTGCAGCAATGGGAAGAAGGTGGAGGAAGCTTCCTCTCGGTGCATAAAGACCTCTGGTTGTGTCCTTGCATCCATTCTCTACCACAGGGAGATTGAAGAAGCGAGTCTTCTCTCTGATTTCATCCGGCATTGGACCCCACCAAACAGTGCCGTTGATTTGATGCGCTTCCCATGCATAAATGTCATCGAACTCCAGGCAACGATCCTCGGCGCTCGTTGTGAGACGCTCTTGCGGAAGGGTGAATGTTGAAGACACTGCACATTGCACTGCTCTACACTCTGTCTTTTTTTGGGCCCTAATGCAAAGAACCATTCATCTCAGACCATGTCGAGTTGCTCTGTACATGTTGTAGAAGATCGGCAAGGACGGACCAGCACCCGACCCCATCCGGTAGTCCAAGTGCATGAAGTCGGCCCTGGGTCTCATTGCCAAGCGAGGGAAAAACCAAGGGGCGGGGGATGTGGCGCCCAGGGGCGATCGAAGTCCTGTGATCCGAAGATTTTTTGTAAGTACATGCACTTTGAGGGTCTCAACAAACGCCAGCTGCAGGGTTTCGCTTGCGAAGTTGGAGTTTTGGTGCACCAAGAAACCAAAGGGGGCAACCCCCGATCTCCTCACCGTCCTATTCTAAGGATTCACAACTGATTTTTTGCCAAGAGTTTCATAAGGACTCACAAGAATTAGATTTTCATCAGATTTTCATACTGATTCCACGCCTATAACTCTACAGCTGGCATGCGTCCCGGCATTGCTGGCGCAGCCGAGGTCGAAGAGCTTCTTGCGGCCCGGTGGTCCTCTGGACTGCTCTGACATGGACAGAGAAAAGGGTTTAGGGTTTAGGGTTTAGGGTGCGGAGCTGCAGGTTGTATTGTGGAAAAGAGTTGGTGTTGAAGGATAAAGGGTCAATGAACCCGGTAACCTTTGTGGCTCAAGAATGGCCACTAACAACGGCTGTTCAAAGCGAAAAGCAGTGCCCTGGGGTTTGGGGCTGGGGTTGGTGTCTGGTTACTTTGGTAAGGATATCCCCCTCCCTCCTTCGGGTGCTCTTGTTTGGATCTGTGTTGTGTTCTTCGGTTCAGGGAGTTCATTTAGGCAGCCAAGGGTTGAGATTCTTTCTTTTCCCCTTTCGGTTGCCCCCGTAGGTTATGAGCCCAAATTAGGTTCCCTGCGGTTGAGTGTTCTCTTAAGGTTTTTGGGATCAAGAAGCAATGCCTTCTCCCAAGCGATGGCTCCAGCCTTCCTCGGATGGTGGTCAGAATGGTGGAGCTGGAAATGGTGCAGCTGAGTCTCTGGGTGAAAGGGCGGTGCTGGAAGAGGTAATGCCTGGCGCTGAAGAACATCTGGAAGAAGCCTTGGTTGCAGAAGGCCCCAATGTGGGTATGAATCCCAATGTGGATATGGTTAGCAATTCTGAAGCTGAAGGACGTGCTGTCTCTGTATTGCCAAAGCCTGGTGAAAACAGGAACTGGGACGCGACTGGTGGTATACGTGAAATGGAGGTGACTGTTTTACGCGTGTTGCAAAAGCATGGGTATCAGCCGTCGACTTCAACTTCGGGCCGAATGGTGGATCAAGGGTCTCAGACCAATCTGAGTGGAGAGGTGCTGCAAGCTGCCAGGAGGCCTCTGAACAAGATTAAAGGGGATCCCTCGGTGAGTTCCCTAGGTGGTGGAAGCGGTTACGAACAGAAGGGTGCGGACAGCTTTGAAGCTGCACCAACTGCTGAATACGCCATGGGGGAGGAGGAGATCTTACAGATGGAGGCTGAAAGGTTGCGCCAGTTGTCAGAAGAAGAGGATGAGATGCGTCAAGTCTCTGAAATGGATGGTTTTCGGAAAGATGAGCATCTGATCAAAGCGTGCGATGGGACAACGTGGGAATGGCACTTCCACGAAGATGGGAGACAATATTACTACTGCCTGGATACGCAGGAAAGCAAGTGGACATTGCCGGCTGTAGGTGAAAAGATGAAGAGTGACGAGGTGGTTGGGTCTCCTTCGGGCAATGAGCTGGAAATGGAGGCTGCACTGGGTCCTTCATCATCTACTCCGACGCCTGAGTCTACGAGGGCATTCCAGGGTAGTGTAAATAGTGTAGGTGAAAAGGATTTTTCCTCTACTATCAGGGATAGCGGTTTTAGGGCTGGTGGTGACGCCCAGACCTCGGGTTCTCCTGATGAGGAAGGAATTTCTGGAATCCGAGCAGACATCGCTGGAGAACATCTGGATCGGGAAGAAATGGAAGCGCTTTCTGAGGGTGTGGCAGCGGTGGAATCGGTGGGTCCAGAGGAAAAAATGACCAATGCGGAGATTGGAACTGTGTCGGCTGCGGAAGAGCGAGTGGTGGATGTGGTACCTGTCGTTCAGGAAGGTGGTCCTGGAGATTTGGATGACGGAGGGAAAAAGTTGTGCGTTACGACTGAGGAGGTCTCTTCGTTTGGTGCCAAGAATCCGGAAAAAAGAAGCTTCTGGAATAGCTGGAGACACGGTTGATCTGAAAGTTGAGGCCTGGAGCGCCAATGAAGCGCGGGTCAATGTGCCAGATAGTACCTGGAGTGCAGAGGAAGCACGGGTTGAGGCGCATATGGTGTCACGTTCCGCGGACGACTGCAACAATGGGGCGCAGGTCTCCGTAGCAGCTGACGACGGAGGTTCACAGGTGGACGCACTGGTGCAACCTGAAGTTAGCAGCGAGGAACGAAATGGCAAAGGCTACACCGGAGCCAATGTGGCAGCTGTGGTCAACGATAGTGGTGATTCTCTTTTGGAAACCATGGAGCCAAAGGAGCCTGCGGTGGAAGAAAATGTGCCTGCCGCGGATGAGCAATCCAACAGCCCTGCAGTGGAAGAAAATTTGCCTGCTGCAGAAGGTTTGACAAAAGACTCCAATGGTGGGTCCACTCCCACGAGGGGGGAAGTATTGCCGTCTGAAAGCTTGCCGGAAGTCGGTAACAGATGAGGCAAAGCCATTGGCTGGAAAAGAGGAAGGTCCTGAACCCCTTGAGCACAAGGTGGATGATCTTGTGGGACTCGTGCAGGAGCAGGACAAGCAGCTTGACCCAAAGGTGGAAACAAGGGATGTTCCAGGAGCCGATGATACAGAGATGGTTTCTGAAGAACAGGCAAAGGAAGTGCCCAATGAGGGAGCCTTGGTGACACCTGGGGAGCATTGTTATCAAGCAGGAGATAGGATCACTGCTCTGGTGCGTTGCATCAATGTATATGGAGCCTTTTTGGAACACGGTGATCTGAATGTGCTGATTCCTGAAGAAGGGAAAAATACACCTTCTTTCAAAATTGGTGACACTGTCTGCACGACAGTGAAGAGGGTGGATGATGATGGCACTGTGATTTTAGATTCCTACCTGGTTTTTGAAGAGGACGAAGAGGACTCTTCTCCAGCGCAGCGCAAATGGAAAGACGGCGGCTGGGATGCGTGGTGGGGAAATTCATGGTGTGATGGTCAATGGTACCAAGATTCCAACGGTCAATGGGACTGGAAATGGGAGGAAGAGCAATCCGATGAGTGGTTTGCTGATCAGGAGTTATCCTCAGAAGAACAAGAGGAAAGGCAACTCTATGGAGAAAAGATCTATAGAGCTCTTCTGGAGGATGGAAAGGCTGATAAGGCCTATGTGGGCAAAATCACTGGGATGTTGCTGAGTCGTACAATAGACGTGGTTATGGAGTGTGTTGCAGATCATGCATTCCTGAATGCGGAAGCTCGGCGTGCATATGGCATCCTGCAAAGTGATGGTTGGAAGCCCGATGGTACAGAAGGCGCAGGCTTGGGAAAGACAACCACCTTTTCCCGAAAGCAGTACCACAACGCGCTCTACGAACTGGCACGTAAGAAAAGGAGATTTAGTGGACCAGTTGTGGGTGAAGCGGTGGCAATGTTGCTGAGTCAAGGCAAAGATGAACTTTGGAATGCGCTTTGGCTGGATACCAAGCGGTTTTTGCAGGAGCTTGATGGTGCAGTTGAATCTATGAGTAAGAGAGAAAATAAGCCAATGGAAGCCTACATGGATCCCGATCAGTATAAGAAGGCTCACCTGACGCCAAAAACTGTGTCACCAGGGTACAGCAAGCTGTGCAAGTTTTTCAATCAGGGAAGGTGTCGCAATGGAGATGAGTGTTCCTATGAACATCGTCGTTATGGTGAAGGTTGGCCAGGAGGAGGACCAACTGAGCCAAAGAACAGCCAAAAAGCTGGAGACGAGGATGGGGACATTGGTGACCCTCCTACAGAAGAAGGCACAGTGGATGAGGCACAGCAGGAGCGGGAGGATTCAGCTTTCAGAGCCAAGTACAACTTTGGTAAAGGTGCATCAAAGGGTGAGTCTGTGTCAGTCGAGCCAAAGAGGCAAATGTGTCTGTATTACAACCAAGGAGGTTGTAAATATGGAAATTCTTGCAGATATTCGCACGACGAAAAAGCGGACTTGGGAACCCGGCAGATCCTGGGACAATGCTTCTCGGAAAGCCATAAGGGACGCAGGGTTCCATCATTGCTGCTTCGACTACTCTACTACCTCAAAGGGAGATGTCGCGTGCGATATGGTTGCAAGTATTCCCACGACGAAATGTCTGAAGAGCGACTGGCCCAACTGAAGCATCTGGCGAATGTGGCGAACCATGTTTCGTTTCAAAGAGGAAGAGGATTGGAGATTTCCGACAGGAACACCTTTCAACCACCGGTAAGTGGGGGAGCGGAATCTTCGTCATCTTCGGCACCACAGGCGTTGCAAATGACCAATGTGTCAAAGAAAACAGGTGAGGGTGATACGCTGGATGGAGCAGATGGAGATGTACAAAAGGATTCGGTGGCAGAGTCTACCACAGTACGTCTTCAGAATCCAGAAGAGCCAATAGAAAATTGGATGGCTCGCAACAAACACTTGTGGGTGTATACACCTCACGTGAGTGACGTGATGATCAAGCTTGGTGTAACCAATGTCAAAGAGCTACAAGAGTATATCTTCGTGGAGGATTTGGTGGAAAAAGGGGTTAACAAGGTGACGGCCTGCAAAATTCTGCAATTGGTGGGTGGTGTTCATTATCGGCCAATGTCGCCGGATGTGGCTGTTTCTACCAACGCATCGGTACGCATGGAGCAATCTTCTGGAAGCCGTGAAGCTGGAAGAGGTGGGGTGAGAACTATCTCTCAGGTGCGTGAAGCTGAAGGCCCTGGTACAAAGGAGATGCCGCGAGGGTCTTATCGAGAGATCTTCGACACAGGCAAGTACCGTGACGCTTGGACGCTAGCGCAGAGATCCCCGCTGTGCGTGCAGAGGTTGCGATTGGTGGGAGTTGGAATGCCACCGGTGAACCCGCCAACAAAGGCGTATCGGTCAAGATCAAACCCTGTCAGAAGGGGAAGGCCCTTGCTGGATCGGAAACAGG